TCAGGGTGTCCCCGCGGTAGCAGAGACAGAACTGGGATCAGGCCTTGAGCAAGTTGGTCCCAGTCTGTGCCTGCCCAGCCCTCCCAGTGTTATGCGACGCACTGGTGGGTGCAGGATTGTAGGGGCTGCTTTTCTGGGGGTGGTGTGGGTTACAGGGTCCTGAGCCCTCTGCCCTCCCCCCGCTGCCCCCCACCCCACTTTCTGGCTCCTACTGGGAAAACCCTGGGGTTGATTGACAACACTAATTTACACTTCACACCCACTCTGTGAAGCAGGCAGCTCCTGTGAAACCCATTTTACAGATGGGAACCTGGAGGAAGCACCATGGAGCCTTGAAGAAGCACAAGTTCTGAGGAAAGAGGTGTGACATTGTGTGGTGTCCTGTGCGGCTGGCATGTGGAGAGGTGGCCTTAGGCTCACAAATGAGAGACCACCTCCCATCTGTGAGGCGCTGTCCTGTCTGCTCCGAGCAGAGCGCAGCTGTAGTTGTCCCGCCTGCCGTCCTGAGACACACACGGTGCTGACACAGACTTCACGCTAACTGCACGCCAGGCACTTGCACACACTTTGTAGGCGTTAGTGTCATTTAAACATAATCCTAAGGAGTGAGCGTTAATATTATGCCTGTTTGACAGATAAAGAAACTGAGGCCCAGAGAGGTTAATTTGCCCAAGGTGACGTAGCTATGAAAGGTGGAACCAGGTTTCAAGCCCAGACTTTCAAGTCCCTTGTCCTGAACCACAGGGCAGCAGCTGCCCCCTCAGGTCAGGACAGGCGAGCCCAGGCTATGGTGCAGCTTGCGGGGCAGCTGGTTGGTCCTGAGTGGTTTGGACTCAGCAGTGGGTGCCGCGCAGGGTTTTAGTGGGGATGCTGACCTACTCACATTACTGTGGCAACTCGAGCACACAGTAGGTGCTCTGCAGCTGTTTGTTGATGACTGTTGAATGGCTGATCAAACACTTTGGTACCTAAGTGTCGGGAGCCTGGTCGCAAGGATGCCAGTTAGGAGGGGGGTGGGCGAGGGCCCAGTGGGTTCATTTTAGACGAGTTGGGTCGTGCGTGCACATACACCATGCTGAGAAGTTGGAGGGGTGCTTGCAAATGTGGGTTAAGGCTCAGAGTTGGCAGCTGGGGTCTGGGGAGACCCCTCCACCACAGCACAGCCCCTGGACTCCCTGCTGGCCTGAGAGCCCAGTCCCCTGGGTGCCTCTGCACCTGCCAGCACCAGCCGGTGAGGAGGCCCCGCCTCAGGTGAGGAGGCAGAGGGGAGTGCTTTAGGGGCCGCCCCTGGTTACCGCACTGAGAGACGAGTCTGCAGCTGGGTCTGCCTCTCTCTCCTCCAGGAAGGCCAGGACCCATCAGAGGTCTCTCTGGGGGAGAGGAGCAGTGGGCGCGGCCACAGCCATGCTGTCAGCCTCAGGAGCGGTGGTCCCATCTGGCCTCCCATGGGCCAACCCTGCAGGCCCCAGCCTGCCCCCATCCCCCTTTCTGTGGCTGAGCCTCTGCTCCCAACAAGCCCCCCTGCTTCCTGGTTTCTGGTGGGCAGAAGGCCTCCCTGTGCTGACACCCCAGATTGGGAGGACTCTAAAAAGAACATACGGCGGCACCAAGGCTCCTCTCCACACCCGTCGGCAGGCTTTGGTGTATCTCACTGTGGACAGGCATGGGTCTGAGTAGCATCTGTTGACAGCCGTGCAGGTGATGTGTACGTGGGGCTCTGCCCACAGCAGCGCCGGGTGGGCGAGGAGAGGCAGCCACGTGCACTGCCCAGGGCTGTCCTGGGGCCGAGTGAGCTGCACTTGGTAGAGGGCCTCGGGATCCTAGCTGCTATTTTAATTTGGAGATTGGGGTTCTCTGTGTGAAAAGGGGGCCTTTGGGGCCAGGCCTGTTACCACCAGTCAGTGGGGCTCACAGGACGAGAGGAGGGCTGACCACACTTGCTACCCAGGCGGTGGGAGGGCCCTCTTGACCTTGGCTGTGGCAGAGAGGGGCTCAGGTTAGGACTGAAACGGCCCTCCCGCAGCGGGTACACTGCGCACAGCACGCCAGGTGCACCTGTCCCTCCCACCCCATCCTGGGACTGCTTGTGCCCTGTCCCAGCGAGTGCGTAGACCAAAGGCAAGCGGGTCAAAGAGGCGTGCGGGCCGGACCCACCTGATCTGAGCAGGCAGGCCCCCGGCGCAGACGTGTGCGTGACGGCCAAGATCCAGGCACACACCCAGACACCCGCCCAGCTGGTGTCACTCTGTCCTTGCATAATACCCCGCCTGCCCCTGTCTGTCTCCTGTCCTCCTGGTTCTCTGGCAGTGCCCAGACTCCCTTTTTGGCTGCAAATCCCCATGTGTTGTCGTTAACCGGCGTTTGCCTCAGAACAGCTCGTGTTGGTTTGCACCACAAGGAGAACATGCAGTCCACTGCCACACGTGGCGCCAAGCTAGGGACTACCAGCACGGCCTTTGTGCTCACTGTCCTCCAGGGGTGAGGGGTGGAGCCTTCCCGCCTCCCACTCCTTTCCTTCCTGGTTGTGGGAATGTGGCCTTCATGGCTGCCTGGTCTGCATGTCACGCCTGCTTGCACATGCCAGACCGCACAGCCAGGCCCTGCCACGCAGCCAGCCTGACTCTATTCCCCGTGTAGAAACCACTCCCCTAGGAGTAGGAGGAGGAGGGCTGTCCTTGGCCGAGCAGGGGGAGGCCTGTGACATTGGAGGAAAGCCCTGACTCCCCCGTGGCGCCCTGCCCCCCGCATGGCATGACTGGCCCCCAGGAGGCGCAAGGGCTGGAAGGGGTGGGGCGGGCAGCAGGCGGCACCATCTGCGGCCGTCCTTTGTGCTGGCAGCCGAGCAATCCCTCCATTGCAGCGATCGGTGGGCCTCGTGTTTGGCATGCAAATGAGTTTCCAGATGCCCGGTGCCCCTGCACAAGAAGCCGGAACTAGGGGCCTGGGAGAAGAATGGAGCGATCTGGAAGCCCATTTCTGTTCATTCCAGCCTCCCTGAATAGGCTGCCCCCCCTCCAGCCACGGCAGATGTGTGCTGGATGCCCGCTGTAGGGGCATTGCCAGTTTCTCGGCAGACACACGCCAGGGGAGGGTCTCTTCTCTCTTGTACCTTCCTCCCTTTGAGGGTGGTGGCAAGACGACCCCACCGAGGGGCAGGATGCATCTTTTAAGACTTAGCCCTTCCACTGCCCAGTCCTGGAGGGAGAAACAGGTGCCCTCTTAGGGATCACAGCCCCACTTGCCTCCTTGGTTGGGCATCTTCGTGCACCACACAAGACAAGCAAGTGTAGCCAGCGGCCTTGGCATGACCTCCCAGGGCTTTGGGCTGACAGGGAACCCTGTCCAGGATCTGGGCGGTTTGAAGTGGCAGCCTGCCCAGCCACTCCCGATCGTACGTTTGGGTGTCTTCCCGTGGTTCCGGCTGAACGCCGTGAAGGGGGTGACTCAAAAGGAGACTGAGGGATTCCCTATTGAGTCGGAGGGCTAGGAGGCCATGGCCACCTGGGGCTCTGCCTTCTGAAGGGTTTCACCTCCTACTCCACCTTCTGTCCAGCCTGGGGCTCCACCAATGTAGTGTGGGGCAGGGGGCAAGAACATTACCTCTGTCTCTGTCACCTCTGGCTGCGATTACTGTGAGCGAGTGACTTCGCCTGCCTGGGCCTCAGTCTGCTCTTCTGCAGAATGGGGATGACAGCAGCCAATGTCCTGGATCTCGCGAAGCCTGTCATGCCGTGTCCAGATGGGAGGACCCTTGAAAGGAGGCAGTGGGCTTTGCATGCAGCCAAGTGGCTGAGCCATTCTGGTTCAAAAGACCCCGGTCTACTCCGACTGGGTCAGCTACTTCCAGAACCCTCAGATCAGCGTGGCTGAAGTCCTCACAGAAAGAATTGGGCATTGGCTGAGGCATGACCACCCTTTGTGCTTCTGCCTGTTCCCATAGCCCAGGAGGATGGCAGAGCAAGAGGCATTACTCCTTTTTATTTCTAAGCAAACTGAGGCCCAGAGAGGGTGTCTGAGCTTCTTGAATCACACAGCAACATGATGACTGACCCCAGCCTTCCCTACTCCCCCTCAAACTTCGGTTGCATCATATACTTTGGAAGGACTGGCCAGCCCAGAGCCCAAGCCGAGGCACGCTGACCTTGAGAGTGCTTTTGGCCCCTGGTGGCCACATGGGGACAGTGAAAGATGAAAGAAATGGCACTTTTCCCAGTACCCAGTTCATTCAGCTTTCTAAGCCCCACTGTGGACGGCTCTTCCACGTTCCCGCATTTGGTGCCCCTGGAGGTCTCCCTCCTAGCCCCACCCCCCACAGCCCTCAGCTCTGGATGTCTTTTGTCCTCGAAGCGTTTGTGCGGAGCAGTGCAGGGACTATCCATGGGTGTGACAGGAAGGCGTGTGCCCCGTGTGTGTGTTCAGCGGGGCGGTTTCTGGGTTGGAGTTTCAGGGAGAGCCCTACAGACAGCCCTGGGATGGTCAGCAGGCTCCAGGAAGGCTGTGGATCTCTCTCAAACCTTGCAATTTTTGAGCCCACCTGTGGGAGACGCCACACGGCGCTGACTGTTGACGGTTTGAGAGGGTGGGCTTCATTGAGGGGTCTCGGCAGGCGGCTCTTAGCCGCGCCTGACTCAAGGTCTGTGGCAGGCCCCCCTCGTCCGTCCAGTTTCCCCTTGGCACCGTCTCTGCCACTCCTTTCGTCATCTGGAGTCTCCTTTGCTGCCTCCGACCCGCACTTCTCAGCGTGGTAGCCATCAAAGCGGGCCCTCTTCTGATCTGCTCCTAGCGACAAGGAAGCTTTCACTCCTTCAGGGCTCAGTCCCATTTTATAGTTGAGAACACCGAGGCCTCCTGAGAAGGCTTAGTGAATCTCCTTGTGTCACACGAATCTGGGAGCAAAGCCACTGTCAACAGCACCAAGTCCAGGGAGGGGGGCCTGGGGGCCTGTGTGTGGCAGGGTGTGGCAGCCGAGGTGCCACTGACCATCCTGTCCCTCCTTGCAGCCCTGCTGTCCTCCTGGTGCGAGGAGCTTGGCCGCCTGCTGCTGCTTCGACATCAGAAGAGCCGCCAGAGCGACCCCCCCGGGAAACTCCCCATGCAGCCGCCCCTCAACTCCATGAGCTCCATGAAACCCCCTCTGTCGCACAGGTGAGCAGGGGTGTGCCACAGGGGGTGGGCCGGGGCTGCTTGGCGGGTGCTGAGGGTGGGAGCGTCTGCACAGCGGTGAGGATATCACATTTTCTAAGATGCGGTGTTTGAAATCGTCGTGGGTGGGCGCCGTTTCTCTCTCATCACACGGAGGTCGAGAGCGCTGGGTTTACCCAACCTGCCTGCTTTGTTGCTTCAGTGGGGGCTGTTTCTTCCTCAGGTTCTAGGCTTCTGCAGAAAGTTAGAAATCCTGAACTCAGGGCTTTCTCTCTTTCCTGAGCTGGGTCTTGGGCAAACCCAGAAAAACCGGGCTGAGAGGGTCTCAGGAAGGCCACAGGGCTCGTGGTCCCACCCTGAGATGGGGACAGAGCCAGCCCAGGCCGACCACATTGGAGCCCCATGAGGCTGGACCAGGCCCGCCAGAAGCCTGGAGTCCTGGGCGGGGGTGGGCAGAATGGGCCTGCTGGAGGCTGCCAGGCACCAAGGAATTGTCCAGTCCGCCCCGCGCCAGCCTCAGGAGGAGCACGTGGTCAGGACTGGCAATTCCCCCAGTTAATTATCTCGCACGTCCCTTGCAGAGCTGGGGATGCTCTCTCCGAGCGCTCTGCAGGCTGACCCTGGAACAACGGGGCCTGTCACGCTGTCTGCTCTCGCTGTGTGTGTCCCCGCTAATGACCAGGAGGGGCATTTGCAGTCAGAGCTCAGCTCTCATTATCCAGCCCGACCGAGGGACCTGCAGCCCAGAGCACACTGCAGGCAGACCTGGGTCACACCATCGAGGCGCTGCTGAGAACTCGGGTGTCAGCCACACTTTATAAATCGAATTAGAGGCTTGTTGACTCTCAGAGCCAGAAAGGACCTTAGCACTCATCACATCCAGTGCCCTACCTGGGCAGGATCGCCCCTGACATGTGGTTGCCCGCCTCGGTCGGAGCCGCTTTGTTCCATAGCAAGCCCACCAGCACCCAGGGCGTTGCCTCTCTGGACCCTGGGTCTGGCTGCCGACAGCTCTGAGCCTCTGTGCTGTGGCAGTGTTTCTCTGTGGGGCTGGCTTTTGCACAGGGTCATTGTTCATGGTGCAGGACTTTGTAGAGTATTTGGCGTCTCGGTCTCTGCCTGCTCGACTCTTCCGCTGACTGCCCGCTTCCCCTCGAGCATTGCAACAGCAGAAGCCCCTCACACGTTCAAGGCGGGCATCACTCTTGGTTCAGAACCACTGCTCTAGGCCGGGCGCGGTGGCTCACGCCTGTAATCCTAGCACTCTGGGAGGCCGAGGTGGGAGGATTGCTTGAGCTCAGGAGTTCGAGACCAGCCTGAACAAGAGCAAGACCCTGTCTCTACTATAACAACTAAAAATAGAAAAAATTAGCCAGGCATGGTGGCGCATGCCTGTAGTCCCAGCTACTCGGGAGGCTGAGGCAGGAGGATCGCTTGAGCCCAGGAGTTTGAGGTTGCTGTGAGCTAGGCTGACACCACGGCACTCTAGCCCGGGCAACAGAGTGAGACTCTGTCTCAAAAAAAAAAAAAAGAACCACAGCTCTAGAGAGACAAAACGTACCTTCTCCTACCTTCCACCCCCTGTTCCTGGTTTGGCTAAAAGCCACAGGTCATCTCATCTCAACCCAGCCACTGAGCACAGGGCGTGGTTGAATTTGGCCTCAGCAACATACTTTGCAGCTGCCCTTGTGAAACGTTAATGCATTAATTCTGGCCCAGCTGGCTGTCCCTCCAGAATCATCCTGCCTCTCATCATCCCACGTCTGAGCTTCCCAGCTCTCTCTCCTCTGAGTATTTCAGTAACGTTGTTACTGATAACGGGACAGAGCCCTACGGCTCCCCACTAGAGACCTGCCTCAGACCTGCTTGACTGTGATCATTCAAGCCACAGAGCGCCACAGATACGGTGCATGGCCGGCCCTTTGCCAGGTCTTCGCGAAGTTGAGCTAAGGCATGAGACTGTTCAGTCCCAGGGTTAAACGGAGATGAGACGTGTCTGTGCTCAGAAGCCAGCAGATCAGGAGAGGGTTAGGGTTAGTGGACAGGCAGGCTGGGCCTTGGGGTTCCAAAGGAGGAAGATGGGTCAGGGCTGACTACTGGGGGCTTCCCAGAGGGTAAGGGATCTTGACCTTGAAGTACTTGGGCTAAGAGTGGGCAGGTGCATTCTATGAATTCAAACTGGCTTTCCAAGAAATGGGGCGGGCTAAAGAGCCACTGGCCAGCACCACCATGGCTTCCGCTCCTGTAAGTGCAGCAGTGTGACAGAGAATGCAAAGCAGGTGGTCTGGCAGCTTGAGGACCAGTCTGGTATTTTCTGTGTGGGCCGGAAGACTTGCTGAGTGTTGATAGCCGACCTTGTTCAGTGGAACAAGGCCTCTGCGGGAGAGCAGTGAGGCGGCGGGCCTTCTGGGCAGTACCCTCGGCTATGAATGGCAGAACTGGAAGGGAAACTAGGCCCAGAGTAGGAATGTGACTTGCCCAAGAACACACAGCCAGTAGGGGCAGAACAGGTTAAACTGCACCCTGCTCTGCTGCCGGCCAACTGGCCCTTCAGGGTTGACACGGTGGTATCTGGTTGTTAACCTGATTTGGAGGATTTTTCTGGAAGAGGGTCATCTACTGTCTGATCCACTCACCCTGTTTCCTGTTTTCTAGTGGGGCAGTTGGAAGTGAAAGTGGTGTCACCAGTTGAACAAGGACAGAGCCCAAGTCCCATCCCCAAGCCCAGGGCTGTTCTGAAGACATTATAGTCGGGCAATTAAAAGTTGGCTGGTGGCCGGGCGCGGTGGCTCATGCCTGTAATCCTAGCACTCTGGGAGGCTGAGGCGGGCGGATTGTTTGAGCTCAGGAGTTTGAAACCAGCCTGAGCAAGAGCAAGACTCCGTCTCTACTAAGAATAGAAAGAAATTAATCAGACAACTAAAAATATATAGAAAAAATTAGCCGGGCATGGTGGCACATGCCTGTAGTCCCAGCTACTCGGGAGGCTGAGGCAGAAGGATCGCTTGAGCCCAGGAGTTTGAGGTTGCTGTGAGCTAGGATGACGCCACGGCTCTCACTCTAGCCCGGGCAAAAGAGTGAGACTCTGTCTCAAAAAAAAAAAAAGTTGGCTGATGTCTGCTTGTAATTTTGATGAATTTCCCAAGGGAGAAATCCCTCATTTCCAGGTAAACTGCAGGGAGGTCTGTCACCTTGTAAGTCCCTAATGTGATTTCCCAAACGAGAAAGAAAGAAAATGGAAAAAGAACGTCAAGAACTTTCACAGTTAGCTTTCGACCCGTCATCCTCAACAGTCTCAGTGAATGACTTGGAGGAAAGAAGCTCCGGTTGCCTTTTCACTGAGGAGACGTTGGCAGAGGCGAGCTTGGGTACCCTGGGGTACGCAGGATTTGCTGCTCAGAGGTGTCCGGCTGTTTGAAGGCTCAGGGTCCTTGCCGAAGGCTCTGAAGACCAGAGAAGGGAGAGGAGGAGGGAGCCAGGGAGCCCAGCAGCTTGAAGCCTGCCCCACCCCCAGAGACAGCGGGTGCCTGGAGGATCCCTGGTGACTTTAGTTATTTCTGTGGCTTGGGTCCACTGCAGGCTGCAGAGCTTTGGTGCCACAGCACGAGGCTGCAAGTCAGGGCCTGAGTTTTTCCACTCCGAGGCTGTGCCACCAAGCAAGGCCCTGTCTGAGCCTCGTGGTTCCTTGCCAGTGGGGGACTTGGAATGTCAGGGAAGGGTCAGGCTGCTGTAGCCCCCGAGGCCATTTTTGAGGATAAGGGTGGTGAGGAGGAATATTAATTATCCAGTCTGTGAAGGTCTTTAGACTCTGAGTCTCCCTATTTTGTCCTCACCACCGGCCACAAGTGGCGCTGCCCTCTGTACTCACAGGTGTCCAGAGTGCTGCGCGAGGGAGCGGAGGCCAGAGAGGCCAGGCGAGGCCCCAGGCCAGTGACTGAGCAGCAGGACACCTTGCAAGTCCCTGCAGTGACCTAGAGTTGATGCCAGCGAAGTATCTCTGCCTTCTCTCCCGGGTTTTTAATGAGTGGTTAAAAAAGCCGTTTGTGATTAGCACATTGTCCATATGCAAATCAGTGTTGCAAAGGTAATTAAGGGCCTAATAAATCTTGTTTATGCTGTTAATTTGATTACAATCAAAGCCAGCGAGAGCTGTTCGGGAAGTCTCCAAGATCAGAGGTGCCATCCTTCCTCCTTCCATCCTTCCAGGTGTGGGGTGTGCAGCCCCCAGAGGAGAGGCTCCCGGATGGGAGAGACCCCTGCATCCCCTGGGTGTAGCAGGTGGGCCGTGGGCCCTGGAGCCAGGTGTCAGGCCTCCAGTTTCAGCTCTGCCATCCTCTTCCTGGGTAACTTTAGGCAGTTACGTGCCTTGTTCATGCCTTAGTTTCCTCATCTGCAGAAGGGGACGGGCAGCAGTGGCAGGATGTCCATGCTTGTCACCGAGCCTGGCACACTGCAGGTCCCTGGAACCCGTCATTATTCCCCGGCCCTCAGCTGGTGCCATCAGACTCTGGTGTGCTCATTTGTGGTCAACGGACAGGGGGCCGATCGGAGCCCACCCCCAGTCTCCTTCCCTTGGTCACGTCACATCACACCATCTTCACAGCTGTCACTGCAGCTCTTTTTTGCATAGCCGTACCGGAGCTCGGTTTGTGGTAGGCCCTTCTTGCCCCCAGAACATTTTTACAATAAACAAGCAAGGAAAGGGAGAATCCAAAGACCGCCGAGTCCCTGTTCCATCAGTTCCAGATGGCCAAGGCACAAGGGTCTTTTCCTTCCCTCCTTCCTACTGAAAATTTTAACACCCTTTAATACGCAGTTCGCTGCACAAGTTCTAAGTTTCACCGCAGGGAGGGAGGAAGTAGGCCCCAGCGGTTGTAATGATGGAGAATGCTGTTAATGGTTCCCCTAAATTAAAGAGGGTGGGAGCTTCGGCTCCTCCCGGGCTTGGCATTTCATTAGCAGTAACGCCATAGCCGTGAGCGGAGACAGGACCAGGGCAGCCA